ATATATATATATATATATATATATATAAAATAAAAATATTAAATATATAACTTTCATAAAATAACTTTTGAGATTGATTGGATCATGAATAAAGTATAAAAATATTGGATTGGGTGGAAGTTGAAAATGGATAAATAGAAGAGAGAGAAAATATTTTTTTTAAAATGATTTGATTGGATGAAATTATTATTAAAGATAGTCTTATGCATTTTACTCAAACGATAAATCATTATCACAATAATTTTATTCAGAGACAACTTCTGAATCGTTAAGAGGTGAATTTTGTTTGACAAAAAAAATATACTTTTTAATGATTCTAAAACCTTTTAATGATTTTGTATCTTGTGCCTCCTATAACCATTCAGCACGCTAATTTCATTTTGAATATTTACCAAACAATATATTTTATTTTGCACTATATTATGAGAGTCTCTTAATCATTTTAACCACTTAATCATTCTGCACAAAACCATTCAGCAACTGCCAAACAACCCTAAGCTTTTCTAATATCAACAACAAATACAAAAAAGTAAAACATCATAGGAAAAAAAAATACAACACTACACATTATGGCGATGCTCTACCTCCATTCCTCGAACAATCTCAAAGGAATACTGTCATATTTAATATTTTTATGGCTAAATTATATGTACGGGTTAATACCTATGTAGCTTTGAATATTATATTTATGTTCTGGCTCAACCCTTAAACGATATAAAGACGTTGATGCCTTACAGTTGTATACACAGTCATATCCCAATATACGAGTTATCTTACTCTCTCTCTATAGTCAACTAATTTCACCTATAACAGAATCTCTATTTAAATCAAATACAAATGATTTAATACCTGATAAATTCGAAAATCCAGAAGGTGGTTGATGATATAAATGCATTTAATATCTATCGAAAAAAATACAGTAAACTAAAAAGCTGGAAATCTGGATACGTTCGTGCATCTCCTAATGATTAACAGTGATTTATGAAAGGACACTAAGAAAAAGTCAATATCTACCAAGGCCATCTACGAATGTCTCTTAACTCTAGAAGCGTTTTTTTTGACTTTTCTATTTTTAGTCAATCTTGTTATTTTATTCCTTTTGAAACCCATCTAAAAGGTCAAAAATCACTGTAAAATAATTTATTTTCAAAAATACTGATCTTACATCATCTTTTTCCATCTCGATCTATAAGTTATAGAAGTACTCGTTTGGAGGTTGACTTTTATAAATTAAAACTTATGTTCTGTTATTTTGAAATTGATATGAGTTTGCGATAACATACCGATTAAATACGTAAAAAAATATATGTTAATCATCAAAACGTGACACGTAACTTATAAATTTTGGCATTTTCTACACTTTCGGGATACTGTAGTCCTCTTTCTTCAACCACCTCACATGAACTTAGCTTAATTTATCGAAATTTGAAAAACGTAAAAGAATGGTTAAATTTTATAAAAAAGTTTCTTTTTTTTTGGGGGTAAAAATTTGATTACTGACAACTTCAACTTGTTCCATACATAACATGTTTTTAAGAACATTGATGTCAGGTGACATATTTTGTTTCACTCAACGGTTGAGGCTAATCTAATACTTGTTTTATATCTGACCAAAATCATTCCACCCCCTTTATCGACTGAACGATACACAAGAAGCAAGAGAAAACGTTTCATTTATGGATAAAGTTGGTTGTCATTTTTAATCTTAATTAAATGTAAAACAATAACAATTAATTTGTTCATATCTATACTATATTATAAAGTATTTTACAAAACTTTTAAAAACTAACTTTTATGCATGAAATACTGTTTATTGATGCATATTACTTAAAATTTAAGATTACAAGTAAATTGTGCGTAGATACAAATCATTAAAGCTTCATGTTTGAATTCGTGTAACTAACTCTACGGATAAACATAATCAAATAGAGGATAAACATCTCATGTTTTAAATATAAAAAATCTAAAATATAATTGTATAATCATTGAGTTACAACAAAATAATTAATTATTATTTTATAAAAAATTATATTATTAAACCAAAAATAAAAAAAAAATGAGTAAAAAAAGTACAATTTTTTTAAATAGTTAGTTTGATACTAATATCAATATTTTTTTTCTTCAAATTTTTATGAATCTTTATATTTTATTTAAAACTAAAAACATTATCGTTTTATCAAAACCATATAAAACCGTATTATAATATTGACTGAAACAAAAAAAGAACGAAACACTAAAATCGAAATGTATTCTGCAAGTACCTTTTTAGTTTTCTTAAATAAAACTTTTTATAAGGAAACATTTGCTTGGTACTTTTCAAACACCGAGGATAAAAAGATGATGAAAACACAAAGGAGTGGAAAGCATTTCATTAAAGTATAGGGGTAAAATATAAAAATATGGAAAAGATGAGGGGGTGATTATGTACTTTCTCGTGGTACATTAATACGGACATACGGTCGTAAAAGCTCGTCAACAACTCCACAGCCGCGAAGATTTCTCTGAATTCAAGCACACACCATAATCTTCTTCATCGCTGTTACTCCATCGTTCAGAGCAAAAAGCAAAAGAGGCTTATGCGTACACCTAAGTATAGAGAGAGAAACCCATGTTGGCGGCGAGATCTAGGGAGAGATACAAAAGGAGCATGAACTTGTACACGAAGCAGAAGCAGAAGGGGAAGGGGAAGGGGGTAGCTCCGAAGCTTCAACGAAGGAACGCAATCAAGAATATCAATTACGACGCCTCTCCATCTTCATTATCATTTGATAGTTCATCTGCTCAACGAACTCGATCACTTGATATTCCATCGCTATCGGAGAGAACGAGTTTTCGAATTGAAGGAATTGATGGCGAAGTCGACGTGATCTGCAGGTCTCTAGGGCTTTCAGGGCCGGAAGATTTGGCAATATCGGAGGATGTTTGGAAAGCGCATAGGGGTGGGAGTTTCCCGTCTAGCTCTAGGTTTCGTCGTTCCCATAGGGTTTCGGCTATGGAATCGCCGGAGAGTGATTTGTCGGAGAGTTTTGGAAGTAAAATTAGCTTTAGTGATGATGAAGTCAAGACTGACGACGAGTCTTCGACATCGGCCGAGGATGAGGAAGCTAGGGTTTTGGTGACAAATGGAGTTAAGAATCGTAACGATGGCGTCAGCTTTGGTGGAATCAATGAGGACAGGCTTGGAAATGAGTATTCACAAGCAAACAATGGCGTTGGTTTAGCGAATGCTGAAAAGGCTAGGGTTTTGCAAGATGGTGGTGATGATGATGACTCGGATAAAACGCGAGAGAGACGACATGCGGAGGGAGAAAGTGGAATTAAGGGTCCAGGGCCACCGTTACTCGCTCCTCCACCTGTGCCCCGAGTGATTGTGGATGATATGGGTTCAAAGTGGGATTTGATTCAGAGTTTTGCTCCAAGGGATGATGAACACTTGGAATCAGACGGACCAGTTGAGACTATTATTTCGGAAAATATGGTAGCGAACGTTGTGGACGAGAGAGAGACAAGTGGGATGATGGCATCAATAATCGATACTATTGTCCCACCATTTGGTTCGGATCCATTGGATGATGAGGATGATGGCTCTTCCATGGCGGCTGCTGATCTTCAGTATTCTCCTTCGCCCACTAGACAATTTAGTGGCAGTTTTGAAAACTGGCAGAAGGGTGATATTCTTGGAAGTGGTTCGTTTGGCACTGTTTACGAAGGCTTTACTGAGTAAGTGAGATTTAAATATCACTGCAGCTGAATTCCAACTGTCATTATCATATATGTTTCTTATATTTTACACTGTGAAATGATGCTTTTCCTTTACGTTGTTGCCAGTAAGATAACTTGTATACATCTGTTGCTGATATTCCGTGAATCTCAGCAACAAGAAATTGTGATCTCAAACTAGTTGGGTTAGACAAAACTTGCTGGAACCATTCTTAAGCTTTGGGGACTTGAATAGCATTAAACCTCTTACCTCGGCCTCAGTATATTCATTTCGGAACGATGATTAGATGTCTGAATTATACTCTGCGAAACTCACCTTTATACCTAGTGTTATCAGAAGTACGGAAATCCTTAATTCTTTTTTCACATGTTGGATGGATCCCTCGTCTGACCTAGCTTTCCTTTAGTAGAGGAATAGAAAGGCAAGATAAACTACACAGTTTAAAGTTCTATTCTTTTATTTGGTGTGTGGTAAACATGCTTTCAATTACCCAGGATACATCCTACCCCGACCCTGCCAGGGGAAACAGCAGGCATCCTACCTTGGCATGCTATCTCTGATACTCCACTGAATTCAGAACAACCAATTGCAAACTTTCCTAGGGCAGGTTGACTCACCTTATCTCGCTATCTGCACAATAAGGTTTGTATCTTCCGGGGAAGCCTTGTTCTTTGAAGATGCAGCCCAAACAAACTACACTGCACTGGGTTGGAGATTAATTGCTGGCAATACTGTCCTGTTCTACTATGTTAGTTTTATAACAAATTTGTCTCAAGTGAAAGGATCGGAATGAAGAGATCTGTATGTTACCCGAATGGCAAAAAGTTATGGTCATTTTCTTGGATAGACCCTAAATTTCATGCCAACAGCACCAGTGGTCCCCTGGCATTCTTCTACTGTTAGCAACTCACTAATTAGGTCCTTAGCAGTGATGAGAAACATAGCTACTTGAAATTTCCTAGCTCCAGACAACTAAATTAATATCTCATTGCAAGGCTTTTCCATCCTCAGGATATAGACTGGAACTGGTTGTTTGTGTGGGTCAGGCATGAGAGGTGAACACTTGAAAAGTAGCAATAAACATGTCAGTTTCTAATTCCTCTTTGCTTCATATCTAGTCATGGATGGTTGGGCCAGCCATTCTTATTTGATGTAGGAAACATTAGTTGAATAGTTATGCTAGATTTCCCATGACCGTTTTATTCAGGCACATTATATGTTGACTCTAGTGATCTGGCAAGGATGGCTTGTTTTTAGTAGAGTGAGATATCCTAGGATTCCATCACCTTTTTATTCAGGAACACTGTTTATCCACTCCAGTGATCTGGCAAGGATGGTTCACATCTTAATATTGTGTGAAATTCTATGCTTGCTTTGGTAACTGATAGCTTTTTCTTCCTACGACTATGTTGCTCCTAATTGTGATCCCCAAAACCCTTGCTAACCTATTTTCACATAATTTTCATGCTGCATTGTTCCATGAATTTACCCAAAAAAACCAAGGGGCCTCAAAGTAGATCTCTCTCTGTATAAGAGGGGCTTATCGATTGACACACAACATTCATTGAACTCAATCAGCAAAGGAAAATAATTTAAGTACAAAACTGAATAATTACATAGAGCATACATAAATAAATTATTGAGGGTGCAAAAGTGACACATACAAATAAAATTTAACCACAATGTTAAAGGGGTAGTGCAGTGCCTTCTGTAAAGCTTCCACTAAATGAGGATATCAACCTGACTCTAATGAGCAGAGAGGCTTAATAGAGCAGTTAAAAGTATTGTCTGTTGCTTTCTACTAGTTTGTTTACATGCTTGTACAAGAACAATTGCAACATAAGGTATGAATGAGACAAGAGATGTAAAACCCAAATATAAGAAAATGAGACCCCATGTGTTAATTTTATAGTCATGACAACATTACTAAGTCGGCACCTAGCCATGCAAATTTGTATGCTTACGTTACATGATGGATGTCAACATATTGGTCATTCTGAGATTGTGCTTACATTTGGCTGGCAAGGAAGTGCAAAAGATGAACTATATTCTTGGCTCTCTCATAAGTGGAGTTGATTGAAGCCATGAGTTTAAATGTACTCAGCAATAGATGTTGCTTTATGAACCAATGTTGCTTTATGAAAGAAGAAATCAAGATTACAGATGTTGGATCCTGATATGTTATGACTTATGATCTGTCGTGTTTGAGTAACGCCAACCGAGGAACTATTCTTGCTTTGTTATGATCTTGTGCACTTTGACTAATGCCAACCAAAGATCTTGTCCTGCCGTGTTATGATCTAATATGCACTTTGAGTAATCCAACCAAAATTCCTAGTTGTGCATTTCCTGAATATGACCTAGTTATTGAGTTTCTTGTTTTTGCAGTATAGTTTGTGAAATTTATAAATGGACTTAATCCACACAAAAGAGTCCTATGCTTATTTCTTGTTTCTTGATGATCCTATATTCACTTGCGAGAGGTATCCATGTCATTGTTGCCTTGTTGGCTGTTTGTTATGCTTAAGAGGTGGGGGGATTAATTCTTTGTTAATCTGAAAGGTTTTAACATGGAGTGGCAACTGGTTCTCTATGGTCCCTATGATCATGTAATGTGCACTAGCCCTCAGGTCTAGCATTTAGCTTATAGTGGGTTATCATGAAGGCTGTTGAACCTTGTTTAAGGTGCATTGCTAAATAGGGGTTTTCGGAGGCAATGCTTCTTTAGATTTGTGAAGACTGGTGAACTGATACCAAATGTGGACTAAAGTATGGTCATCATTAACTGTATGGCACATGTAGCGTTCCCAGTGTTAAAGCTAGGATTGTTACAGAAGATGACCAGTGAACTTACCCTTTCTTCTGATATATATGATGTATTGATGTAGTTTCATGTCGATTTTAGAATTTCCATTTATGGGTAAGCACTTAAGCCAAAGCCTGGCATTAATCATCGTTTAAAATTCCTTTTGATCTTTTATCTTTCATATTGCAAGCCTTCCCTCTTCACATCTCATTTTGATAGAGGGAAATGGAATTCTGCTGCATAGTCAGGTGATGAATACCATATGTCGGTTCAGTAGCCCTTCTCTTTTCACCTTTTTCTCTGAAATTATCTCATTACATCATCTGATGTGATCTTATGTTTTTCGCAGACATGGGGACTTTTTTGCTGTAAAGGAGGTTTCTTTGCTTGATCAAGATAGCCAGGGAAGGCAGAGCATTGCCCAACTTGAGCAGGTGTTTATTGTCTGTCATTTGACTCATTTCTTGAAGTTATGCGTAGGTTCATATCCATAAAATCCTGGGTTTCTGCGTGCTTAGTCCTTTTTGTCATCTTACTATTGTTTCAGGAGATATCTTTATTAAGCAACTTCCATCATGATAACATAGTTCGATATCTTGGAACAGATACGGTATGCATTTCATCTCTTAAGGTCTTCCTTTTTCTTTGGAGGCTTAAAGCAAGCTTCCAGCTGATAACTTCCTGGAAGAGCCATCTAAAAGTCATCATATATATTGGAGGCATGTGAATCGTGATGCAGGATATTAAAAATTTAGGAAATAGAACACTTGAAATTAAATCGAAGTGTAACCATGTACAATATCAAACCCTTCTTTTCTATGAAACTGTAATTTTACTTGGGGCCCAGATTCCTTATTGATCAAGGAGTGCGATAAAAATTACAACTTTAACTCCCAGGTGTTAAGGACTTCTTAACCAAACCAAAAGCTTAGGTTATCTTTTCCCGCACCAAATGCGTGCATGGTAACTTGATATGATGTTTCAGGGTGATGGTAAGCTTTATATCTTTCTTGAGCTTGTAACAAGAGGTTCGCTGGCAAGACTCTATCAGAAGTATGACCTGCGGGATTCTCAAGTATCGGTCTACACCAG